GGGGGTTGTTTGTTTGTTTTGTTTTTGCAGTTTTTGAACCCGCCACCTCCAGAATATGGGGCTGGAGCGCTACTCCTTTGAGCCACAGGTGCTGCCCTGGCTTGTGGTTTTTAATCCAATCAGCCAATCTATGCCTTTTCAGTGGGGAACTCAAGACATTAACATTTGCTGAAATAATAAGTGTGATAGCGTTCTATTCATCTTATTTTGTGAAAGTCCATTGCTTAGTTTGATCTTTTGCATCATTGTGGAAGCTAGGTTCTGTCCTTTAATTTCTGGGTGTTTACTTTGCTGGTGGTCCACTGTGATGGTCAGTTTATAGAATAGGTTGAAATATTTCCTGTAGAGCTGGTTCTTGTGGCAGATTTCCTCAATGTTTACATATCAGTAGAAGATTTGATTTCTCTGTCAATTTTAAAGCTTAGCTTAGTGGGATATAGAATTCTGGGCTGGAAATTGTTCTGTTTAAGTAGATTAAAGGTAGATAACCATTGTCTTCTGGCTTGAAAAGTTTCATTAGAGAAATCTGCAGACACCCTGATGGATTTGCCCCTGTAGGTCAATTGGCCCTTACTCCTGGCAGCTTGTAAAATCTTTTCTTTTGTCTCGACTTCGGACAGGTTCCTCAGAAGCTCTAGTAGAATTGAGGCAACCTAGGGTCCGATATCCCTCTAAAAGGAGTGTGTCAGAATCTTTGGTGATATTTGGGAAATTTTCATTTATAATATTCTCTAGTTTGGCTTCCATTCCCCTGGGGCATTCTTCTTCCCCTTCTGGGATACCTGTAACTCATATGTTGGAACACGTCATAAACTCCCATAATTCTGTCTGTGAGTGTTCTGTTCTCTCTCTCTCTTCTTTTCTGCCTCTTTAACTATCTGAGTTATTTCAAGAGCTTTGTCCTCTACCTCTGAAATTCTTTCTCCTGCATGGTCTAATCTGTTGTTGATACTTTCTATTGCATCTTTAAGTTCCCTAATTGACTGCTTCAGTTCCTTCAACTCTGCTATATCCTTTCTATATTCTTCATATCATTCCTCTCTTATTTGATTCTGGTTTTGGATTTCTCTTGATTATTCTCCACTTTCCCAACAAATTTCCTTCGTTGTTTTCATCATCTGTATTTTAAATTCCCCTTCTGTCATTTCTAACATTTCTTTATAGGTGGAATCCTCTGCAGTAGTTACCTCATGGTCCCTTGGGGGAGTTTCTCTGGATTGGTTTTTCAGGTTGCCAGGATTTTTCTGCTGATTCTTCCTCATGAGTGTTTCTTTTATCTGCTTCCTTGCCCTAATTTTCCTTTCACTTCCTGTTGCTCTTTAAGTTATTATGCCTCTGGCCTAAGGTTTTAATGAGTCCTTTTGGTACAAGACCAAAAGGATGAGAAGATTGAAGAGCAAGAAGGGAAAAAATATTTTTAAAAAAGAGAAAGGAGAAAATTGACATAAAGTCTATGTTAACCAGTTTGATGAAAATATTTCAAATTGTATATGAAAACACCACACTGTACCCCATGATTGCATTAATGTACACAGCTATCATTTAATA